CAAATTATCACAGTGTGTAGATGACATGATCCTATATACAGGGGAGCCAAAAGACTCCACTAAGAGACTATTGGACCTCATAAGAGAGTTTGGTAAAGCTGCAGGATATAAAATCAACACACAAAAAATAACCATTTATATAGACAGACAATGCCATGGCTGAGATAGAACGTACAAGATCAATATCATTCACGATAGCTACCAAAAAAGCTTAAATACCTTGGAATAAATTTAATCAATGATGTGAAAGACCTCTACAATGAAAATTACAAAAGAAGGAAATAAAAGGAGACACAAAAAATGGAAAAATTTCTATTTCATTGATTAGAAGAATTAGTATCATCAAATGTTCATACTACTCAAAGCAATTTTCAGATTAAATTGATTCCAATCAAAATACCAATGACATTCTTCTCAGATTAAGAAAAAATGCTAAAATTCATATGGAAACACAGGATATCCCAAATAACTAAAACAATCTTAAATAACAAAAACAAAGCCAGAGGCATCACAATATCAAATTTTAAGACACACTACAGAGTAGTTACAAACAAAACAGTTTGGTACCTGCGCAAAAACATACATGTTGACTAATGGAACAGAATAGATAGCCCAGAAATTAATCCATGGAGCTACAACTAACTAAACTTTGACAAAGCAGCTAAACTCAATCCCTGAAGAAAGTACAATCTCTTCAACAAATGGTGATGGGAAAATTGGATCTACACATGCAGACATATTAAACAAGACCCCTTCCATACCTTATACAAAAAACCAACTCACAATGGATAGGGATATAAATCTACAACCCAGTACCATCAAATGACTATAGGAAAATGTCAGGGAAACTCTCTAAGATGTTGACATTGCAAAAGACTTCTTGTAAAAGACTTTAGAAGCCCAGGCAATGAAAACAAAAATAGACAAATGGGATTACATCAAGCTTTGAGAAGCTTCTGCACTGCAAAGGAAACACTCAGCAAAGTGAAGAGGCAACAGACACAACGGGAGAAAATATTTGCAAACTATGTAAAATGATAAAGGATCGATATCCAGAATCTATAATGAGTTCAAGAAACTCAACAATAACAAAACAATAATCTAGATAAGAAATGGGCTAAGGACATGAGCACACATTTTTCAAAGGTCAAAATACAAATGGCCAACAGACATAGGAAAAAATGCTCAGGATCACTAGCCTTGGTCTAGTGATGCTAAGAGTGGTGAGACTTTTAGGTGGCAGAGCCCAGGGGGAGGTGATTGGATCATTAAGGATGATGCCATGTGAAGAAATTTATACGGTTCTCATGGGACTCAGATTATTTCTTATAAAAGGGAAAGACTGGCCTTTCTTCAGTTTTCCTGGCTTCTGATTTACCATGTTACCACTCTTGCATATGTTTCCCTTTATGATGTCATCTGCCATAGGACTTTACCTAGAGGCCAAACTGTTGCACCCACACAATTTTGGACTTTCAGCTATCAGAATTATGAATTAAACAAACCTATTTCTTATAAGTTACCCAGCCTCAGGAATTTTATTATAGCAATGTAAAACATTAATACAAGCAATACCCAAAAACCATCTTCCTAGCACAGAACGACTCTTTCCATACACAAGATCTTTCTGCATCTCTGTTCTACCTCCACCAACTTACCAAAGTATTTTCCAAACAATGAAAACAAAAACTTCCTCACTGGAATTCTTGTGAACAAGATTTCCTTATCTCACCTTCTTTGAGCAAGATTCACATAAAGTCCACTGAGGGTACTAATACTTCATGAGAAAGGGTAACAATTATGAGTAGACTCTTGGGTTACTTTTATATGTTGGGGTTTGATCTACTTAGGAGCTGTCTCCATATGAGTTTAGGAGGAAAAAAGCTTACAGACATTGCTAGACAAGCAGCACTAGGTGGGGAGGTGTTCTGAGCTTAAAAAAAAATAGACATTATGTAAGTATTTGCAACGATTAAATTTAAAATAGCTTACATGAAATAGAAAGTGGCAATGATAGCACAAGTTAGAAATCTACAGAAGGTCAAGCCACAAATAAAGAGAGGTTCCCCCCATCCTCTCCCCAGTTCCTTCAAACATGTGTGTTATTCTGGGAAAAGGCTACTCTATCTGATGTCATTAACAATCAGACATATAAGTAACAGTTCCCAGTGACAAAGCTGGAAGCAAGACAAAGCAACTTGCTAAGAGAATATGTTTAATTTGAAATATAACACTGGGGAAATATGAATATTATGGCTTCTATAAAGTAGACTCATCTTTCCTAGAGTTAAGATATGCATTAATCTAAAATGATAGTATCTAATTATATAATTTATTGATGATAATTGGAATATAAAATTATACCACTCTTATTTCTGTACCTTATTTTCCCCCATGCCTTCCTTCACAAGCATTCATTGATATTCTGTCGAAAGCAATGTGCTAAAATAGGAGGTGCAGAGACAAAAGTCAGCTTCAGTCATAAGAAATTCAGAATCTAGGAATTATTCAGACATCTAAACAGATATAATAAGGGTTGACCACTAAAAACAAAGAGTTGAGATAGAGTCTAATGAGGGCATATAATACAGGCTAACGACAGAACATCAGTTCCTTTCTGGAAGAAGACATCTATGCTTGTTTTAAAGGGTGAGAAAGGAAGGAGAGAAGATTCCATGTAGAGGGAAAATCAGTTGCAAAAGCATTAAGGGTGCACAGTATTTCTGGGCACAAGCAGATAACTGATCATGGCTGGAGCAGTGTGGATGTGAATGTGCACTGAGAGATGACAGTGCGACAACAGTGTCATGTGCTTGGTGTGCAGAGGCAACATCACAAAAATACTTGTTCCCTGAGGGCAATGGGGAGGGACAGGATCAGAATTTTGTTTATGGATGTGAGAGAAGTGAATTAAGTGACTCTATAAGTAATAACCTAATTTGGAAACATAAAGTTATCCAGATGAGAAGGAAAATCAGATTCAATTAAATCAGATTCAAGTACATACACACAAGGCAAGGCAAGGCAAAGAGGATGCCAGGCAAGACAGAGAGGAATTGCCCCAAATCAGTTCCCCAGAAGTCACATCCTTTCATGCTCCAGGAAAATCACAAGGCATTCCAACAGGCCTCACGTTAGCTGTGGTCTTTTCCTAAAAAACCCTATGCAAGGGCACAAGGGCACAACAGCAGAGCTATTTCCAGTAAAGATTTAAGGAGCTGTTAAACAGTAATAGAACAGGCCAGCACCGTGGCTCACTAGGTTAATCCTCTGCCAGTGGCGCCGGCACCCTGGGTTCTAGTCCCGGTTGGTGCACCGGATTCTGTCCCGGTTGCTCCTCTTCCAGTCCAGCTCTCTGCTGTGGCCCAGGAGTGCAGTGGAGGATGGCCCAGGTCCTTGGGCCCTGCACCCACATGGGAGACCAGGAGGCAGCACCTGGCTCCTAGCTTTGGATTGGCACAACGGCCACTTGCAGAGTGAACCAACGGAAAAAGGAAGACCTTTCTCTCTGTCTGTCTCTCTATCACTGTCTAACTCTGCCTGTCAAAAAAAAAAAACAGTAATAGAATAAATAGGTTGTTGGTTAGATGGGGAAATCAAAAATAACATACAGTCTAAAGCAAATGAGTAGATGGGGAAGCATCCATAGAGATAGATTGCGTGTATGCTGCAGGATAGGATCAGCTTGTAAGTGAGTGGGGCAAGGGAAGGTGAGAAGACTTAGGGTATCCATGTCAACGTGTACTCTTAAGATATTTGTAGAGCAATGACAGTAGGCAATTGGACACATGATTGGGAAACTCCTAAAATAATCTAGCTCTGGAACTGCAGAGTTACAGGATACAGGTAGCAGTTAACACCACCAGTAAACATACATCAACTAAGAGAACATACAAATTAGGAGAAAGGCATTTAGAAAATTAAAAATAAACAGTTGTTAAATAGTAATAACAATCATGGATTAGAAACAATACTGGCTGGGGCTAGCACTGTAGAGTGGCAGGTAAAGAAGCCTGCAGTTCTGGCATCCCATATATGCACTGGTTTGAGTCCTGGATGCTCCACTTCTGATCCAGAGAGAGCTATGGCCTGAGAAAACAGTAGAATATGGCCCAAATCCTTGGGCCCCTGAACCTGTGTGGGAGACCTGGAAGAAGCTCCTAACTCCTGGCTTCAGATCAGCCCAGCTTCAGCCACTGTGGCCACTTAGGGAGTGAACCAGCAGATGGAAGACTTTCTCTCTCTCTCTCTCTCTCTCCCTCCCTCCCTCCTGACTCCCTGTAACTCTGCCTTTCAAATAAATTAAAAGAAAATCTTTTAAAAAGAAGAAAAAGAAGAAACAATACTGGCTAATATCTTGAAGAACTGTATTCCTCTTCTTCTTATGGTTGGATTGACTACTAATTGCTTGGAAAGATCAGGTTTAGAAAAGGAAATTGGTCACTATGGAAACAGGCTATTCAATATCAAATAGGCATGTTGACCACAAAAGGGTAATTACTTTATTCTTTACCTTAATTGCATGTTTTTGTGGGCTTCAATAATCATGTATCCTTTTGTGCAGAAATTTCCTGCCAGGTTATGATGCAGTAAGCCGAAGCAAACACACTAGTCTCCAGCTAACTTCCCCAGGTTGCTTACCATCAGGATATTTTGTGACTTTAACACTCCATACTTTCATCAGGGTGCAACTAATCTAATTATTTTGCTAGCCTAAATCTAAATGAACTGAGTCACAGGAAAATGTTTCCATCTTTTCCTTCATGGTCAAATCTGTTTAGTGAAGAACATGTCAAATTATGTTAGTTGTTAATCTGTATTCTAGGCTGCAGTTAAAATCCAAAGCATAGTGTATTCACAAGAAAAAATAAGAAAGAGAATTTAAAGAAATGTTTGCCAAAATGTGCAACAAAATTCATGGAAATTCTTATGCTTTATGATTGTTCCAACTTTTTAAACTAAGGACACATTCATATTTAAATAGTATTTATTTCACTGACCTTATCCAAAAAAGCTTGTATTGCCACTTCCTGGCTCGTCATAGAAGCATCGTATCTATGTCTCCCAATGGAAGCAATTAACTGGGTCTCTTTTTCCAGCAGTTCACATAAAGCAGCTTTCCTTTCAGCTCCAGTGAAAGACTGGTTAATGCGTTTAAGTTCTTTTTGCTTCCACACTAAAGGAATAACATGAAAGACTCTTGAGTTTCAAAAATCTCAAATCTTTACAGAGCATTTTTACCATCACAGTTTATTTTTGTACCATTTCAAACAATATACATTGATATAATCATCCATACTGTATACCTGATATGTGGAGACAAGATAGGATGAAACGGAAGCTAAAAGACATGAAGCAAGCAGTAAAAATAAAGTCAAGCAGATGAGCAAAAAGAAATCTGTTCAGATAGCATCAAATTATGCCATCCAGTCAACATGTATACTCACCAGCACTGAAAAAAAAAATATGGGTTGGGTTTTGTGGTAGCCATAAACATGCACTACTCAGATTCCCCTTCAAGAGAGCACCTGCCACAAGGAGTACTTGTAGTTGACAATTCCAATACTTTGGATCTGTGGCAGTGTTGGAACAAAGGCCACACTCTGCCCACAAAGCTCTCAATCAATTACAGCAAACCAGGAGGGAATCAGGTCCTGCCTTGTGTCTGCCCCAAAATAGTTTTCTGTGATCAATCACATAAGTGCTGATTGATGAGATGGCTTAGATTTCATCAGGCTATATTAGTTTGAGATTCGCCAAACCCCATTCTTTTTTCCTTTCCTCTCTCAGGGTCTACAGGTTTTAAACTTATTTCCAATCTGAAGACCTGCTACTACCTCACCCCTTGTCTTTCATGTCTAACTCTACCTTGCTATCTCCTTCCTTGTGTACCCAAAATGATACAGCTTTGTGTAGAACTATTGACTTTGTTTCCTTCATTCAATTACGTACCATTTTCCATTTCTTCACAAAGTCCTATATTAAAGCAGTAAACATATAATTATATTTACTCTTTTTTAAAAAAAAAACATTTATTTATTTTAAAGGCAGAGTTACAGAAAGAGAGACAGGCAGACAGACAAAAAGAGATCTATCCACTGGTTCACTCCTCAAACATCTGTAGCAGCTGGCTGGGCCAAGCCAAAACCAAGAACCAGGAGCTTCATCTAGGTCTCCCATATGGATGCAGGTGCCCAAGGACTTGGGCCATTTCTGCTGCTGTCTCAGGCATATTAGTAGGGAACTGGATCAGAAGTGAAGCAGCCAGGACACAAACCAGTGCTCAGATGGGTTGCCAGTGTCACATGCAGCAGCTTAACCCCCTATGCCCTGTCTCTGGCCCCTATATTTACCTTTTTCAATTGTTATAATGTTTCTGACATGTTTAAGTATTGATTGCTAATGTTTCTGGCATGTTCAAGTATTGATTGATGTCAATACTGAAGACAAAACATAAAATGTCAAAAACTTTTAATAGATTCGCCCTATATAAAGAATACCATATCATATTCTCAAAATTAAGCTGTATCATAAAATATGGATTGCTACATATTACTCCAAACTTAAATGAATAAAACTTTTTGAGCTCAGATATATGCATCTTAACATGTGTTCCATTCAATTCTTTTTTTTTTCTTTTATTTAATGAATATAAATTTCCAAAGTACAGCTTATGGATTACAATGGCTTCCCCCCACAACAACTTCCCTCCCACCCGCAACCCTCCCCTTTCCCTCTCCCTCCCCCCCTTCCATTCACATCAAGATTCATTTTCAATTCTCTTTATATACAGAAGATCAGTTTAGCATATATTAAGTAAAGATTTCAACAGTTTGCACCCACATAGAAACACAAAGTGAAAAATACTGTTTGAGTACTGGTTATAGCATTAAATCACAATGTACAGCACGTTAAGGACAGAGATCCTACATGAGGAATAAGTGCACAGTGACTCCTGTTGTTGACTTAACAAATTGACACTCTTGTTTATCACCCTTGTGATTACTGATCACACCTCGCTCTTGTCATGAATTGCCAAGGCTATGGAAGCCTCTTGAGTTCACCGACTCTGATCATATTTAGACAAGGTCGTAGTCAAAGTGGAAGTTCTCTCCTCCCTTCAGAGAAAGGTACCTCCTTCTTTGAAGACCTGTTCTTTCCACTGGGATCTCACTCACAGAGATCTTTCATTTAGGTTTTTTTTTTTTTTTTCCAGAGTGTCTTGGCTTTCCATGCCTGAAATACTCTCATGGGCTTTTCAGCTGGATCCGCATGCCTTAAGGGCTGATTCTGAGGCCAGAGTGCTGTTTAGGACATCTGCCATTCTATGGGTCTGCTGTGTATCTCACTTCCCATGTTGGATCGTTCTCTCCCTTTTTTATTCTATCAGCTAGTATTTGCAGACACTAGTCTTGTTTATGTGATCCCTTTGGCTCTTAGTCCTATCATTATGATCAATTGTGAACAGAAATTAATCCATTCAATTCTTATAAACAATTTTAGGAACAAAATTATTTTTTAGCCCATATTTCAAAAGTAACTATCTTATCCACACTAACTGAAGTATGGGGTCACAAGTACTTTTAGAAATTAAATCCATCAGCCCCTTGTTTAACCTCCCAGCAGTTTGGACAGATTCTATTTGCCCACTGTAGTCTTAGTAATTGTGTGGGAGACAACAGAGTTAATTTTTTCTGACTATATAACATTTTTTTGAGTATCTGAATATAGCTGTTACACCCCACTTGTATTTTCTCTTCCACAGATGTAAACACTTCCATTTCTTAAACTTCAGACCATTTGATGTCACTTCCTTTTCAACCAAAGTTCCTCTAGTGTGGGGAGCAACTGGGAGCAACTCAGACTAGACTAAGTTACTGGAATTAAGACTTATTCTATGCATCTGCTCTCCCACAATATGGCGCTGGGAGAGGAGAAAACAGCTTCTACGCAGCTGCCTCTTGCCAACTTGAGTGATGACCTCCAGGAACTGATCCTGCTCCTGATTGGAGGAGAGCAGCGTACTCGGCGTGTGGGCAGCCGAGTTGGGATTGGTGGAAGAGGACTATAAAGGAGGAGAGAGACAACATGCACCAGGAACATCTAACGGGAACATCTAAGGGGAACACCTGTGCAGCCCCCGAGAGAGCCGGCCAGCGGTGTGCCGCTCCCCTGCGGAAGTGGGGAATGTGGCTAGGGGGAACCGCCCTTCCACGGAGGTGGAAGGGACGGTAGCCAACCCGGGAAGAACCAGCAGCAAACCCGGGGAGGGCCGAGCAGACAAAAGAACAGCGCAGGGTCCTGTGTCGTTCCTCCACGAACGGGGAGCGACATAATGGTGCCATGACTTGGATAGGGAAACCTAGGAGGGAAGAAACAGGAAGAAGTGGAAAATTACCGGAGAGAGAGACTAGCAAACAGCCTAGGGAAAAGCCAGACGAAAAAGGTGCCGGAAGAAGCTATTGAAAGCCTAGGCATAGACTCAGATACGGACTATGGGGGGAAGCTGGGAGAAATCTCTAAGGTCGAAAGTGAAAGTGAAAGCTAGAACAAACAGACTCGGATACAGACTGTGGGGAGAAGCCAGGAGAAATGAGGGAGGAATACTGTTGGAAGAAAACTTAGGGAAATATACCAGGTAGAGAAAAATGTTAGGGAAATTGAAGCCGCGGGGGGCAGGCCGAGGCGGAAACGTAAGCCAGTTTGGAATTCTTTAAGTCAGCCCGGGGAGCAAAAGGCGAAAATCTGGAACCAGAGGCAGAGACGTGGGCCGCCAGGTTGGAATCCGTCAGATTAGCCCGGGGAGCAAAGGACGGGAAGCCAGACCGAAAGGCGCAGACGCGTGAGCTAGGTTGAATTCGCCAGGTTAACCCGGGGAACTTAGATTGAATACTAGTGGCGGAAACGTGAGCTGGGGCTGTGTGACTCGCGGAAGCCGCCACGTGCAGAGAGCGCACGGGGCGCTAATAGATAGGGAACACGGGGCTGGCGCGAAGGGCATGGAGACCGCGGAGCACGCGAAGCCAAGCCGCGCAAAGCCGGGAAGCCGCGCAGATGGGAGAAGCGCGGGCTGAAGCGGCTCAGAGCCGGGAAGCCGCCAAGAAGCAGCCTCGGGGCGGGCGCCGGGAAGCTGCAGGGATAAGAGAAACAGAAGTTTAGAAGTAAAATGAGAGAAATAGGAATGCTGGTAGATAGAAGTAAAATAGGAGCAATAGGAATGCCCGGAGATAGGGAAATAGAGAAAAATAAGGCCTCCCCACAACATGGCAATGAGAGAGCTTGGATTCGGTCTGCCTGATTAGGGAGGTGGTGAGCACCTGCGGGCAGCTAGCAGCTTATGCGCCGCAGGTCACCGAAGACAGGCACGAATTAACATCAATAAGTCTCCCCACAATACCGCAATGAGAAGGCTTGGATTCGGTTTGCCTGATTGGTAGGGCTTGTAAGCACCTGCAAGCAGTTCTAGCAGAGTAGAGCATGCGCTGCAGGGCACCGAACACAGGCACGCATCAGCACCTAAAAACCTCCTCACAACATGGCGAAGAGAGGGCCCGGATTCGGTTTGCCTGATTGATAGGACTTGTAAGCACCTGTGGGCAACTCTAGCAAGCAGAGCAAAGTGTGTGCCGCGGGGCACCGAAGACAGGCGCGTATCAACGCCAAAAATAAAAAGAAAGGGGAATCTGTGGGGAGCAACTGGGAGCAACTCAGACTAGACTAAGTTACTGGAATTAAGACTTATTCTATGCATCTGCTCTCCCACAATATGGCGCTGGGAGAGGAGAAAACAGCTTCTACGCAGCTGCCTCTTGCCAACTTGAGTGATGACCTCCAGGAGCTGATCCTGCTCCTGATTGGAGGACAGCAGCATACTCGGCGTGTGGGCAGCCGAGTTGGGATTGGTGGAAGAGGACTATAAAGGAGGAGAGAGACAACATGCACCAGGAACATCTAACAGGAACATCTAAGGGGAACACCTGTGCAGCCCCCGAGAGAGCCGGCCGGCGGTATGCTGCTCCCCCGCGGAAGTGGGGAATGTGGCAGGGGGAACCGCCCTTCCACGGAGGTGGAAGGGACGGTAGCCAACCCGGGAAGAACCAGCAGCAAACCCGGGGAGGGCCGAGCAGACAAAAGAACAGCGCAGGGTCCTGTGTCGTTCCTCCACGAAGACGGGGA